AAGCCAGAATTCGAGCCAGGCCCTCCTGCATTGCATGTGGATCCTTTATCAACTGAGCTCTCCGGAAGCCCTGTCATAGAGCAGGCCTCTAAATCAGACTACAATGAGGGCTTCCCTGGTGGCTCAGATAGTAAACAATCTACATGTGGTCCAGGAGACCGACGTTCACCCCCTGGGTCGGGAAGAGCCCCTGGAGTAGAAATGGCAACTCACTTCAGTATTCTTCTCTAGAGAATTCCATGGACAGAGGAACCTAGCGGATTACAGTCCATGGGGTCACAAACAGCTGGACACTACTGAACACGGCTGAATGGCTAATACTTCTACTTCTTTCAGTATATCTACATTTGATTAGATACATAAAATTAATCTGTATTCCCTATTGGCTTAGCAGTAAGAGTTTCAAGATAAAGAGAAACTTGCTACACAAATAATTCATTTAGAAATGCTATCAAAATGAAATGACAAGGCATGATATGTTTTATTTTAAAACATAACTACTTTTGTAAAATACATTAATATCATCACTATTAAATACAATTATTTTATAAATCAAGTAACATTCACAATAAAGGACAGAAATGGTATGGACCTAACAGAAGCGGAATATCTTAAGAAGAGGTGGCAAGAATACAAAGAAGAACTATACAAAAAAGATCTTAAGGACCCTGATAACCAATATGGGTGTGATGATGCACCTAGTGCCAGACATTCTGAAGTCAAGTGATACAAAGCTAGTGGACGTGATGGAATTCCAGCTGAGCTATTTCAAATCCTAAAATATGATGCTGTTAAATTGCTGCACTCAATATGGCAGCAAACTTGGAAAACTCAGCCTTGGCCGCAGGACTGGAAAATTTCAGTTTTCATTCGAATCCCAAAGAAAGGCAATGCCAAAGAATGCTCAAACTGAGGTACAGTTTTTGAGCTCATCTCACATGGTAGGAAAGTCGTGCTCAAAATTCTCCAAGCCAGACTTCAATGGTATGTGAACCAAGGACTTCCAGATATTCAAGCTGGATTTAGAAAAGGTAGAGGAACCAGAGCTCAAATTGCCAACATCCCTTGGATCATAGAAAAAGAAAGACCATTCCAGGAATACATCTCTTTCTGTTCCATTAATTATGCTAAAGCCTTTGTGTGGATCATGAGAAACTGGAAAATTCATAAAGAGATGGGAATACCAGACCACCTGACCTGCCTCCTGAGAAATCTGTATGCAGGTCAAGAAGCAACAGTTAGAGCTGGACGTGGAACAACCGACTGGTTCCAAATTGGGAATGGAGTACATCAAGTCTGTGTGTTCTCACATTGCTTATTTAACTGAAATGCATGGAAGGTCATGTGAAATGCCGGGATGGGTGAAGCACAAGCTGGAATCAAGATTGCTGGGAGAAATACCAAGAAACTCAGAGCATGGTGTCATCTGTATATTTGATGTTGTTGATATTTTCCCTGTATCATGATTCCAGCTTGTGCTTCTTCCAGCCCACCATTTGGCATGATGAAAAGTGAAAGGAACGGTGCTCAGTCATGTCCGACTCTTTGCGACCCCACAGACTATGCCGTCCATGGAATACTTTAGGCCGGAATCCTGGAGTGGGTAGCCTTTCCCTTCTCCAGGGAACCTTCCCAACCCAGGGATCACCAAGGGCTCATGCATCATGTACTCTGCATATAAGTTAAATAAGCAGAGTGACAATATACAGTCGTGACATACTCCTTTCTCATTTTGGAACCAGTCCATTGTTCCATGTCTGGTTCTCACTGTCGTTTCTTGACCTGCATAGCTATTTGTCAAGAGGCAGGTAAGGTGGTCTTGTATCGCCATCTCTTTCAGAATTTTCCAGTTTGTTGTGATCCACCCAGTAAAAGGCATTGGCATAGTCAATAAAACCAAAGCAGATGTTTTCCTGGAACTCTCTTGCTTTCTCGATGATCTAAGGGGTGTTGGCAATTTGATCACCGGTTCCTCTACCTTTCCTAAATACAGCTTGAACATCTGGCATTTCTCAGTTCACATTCTGTTAAAGTCTTACTTGGAGAATTTTGAGCCTGCCATTGCTAGTGTGTGAAATTAGTGCAACTGTGTGGTCAATTTAACATTTCTTTCAATTGCCTTTCTTTGAGATTAGAATGAAAACTGATGTTCCCCAGTCCTGTGGCCATTACTGAGTTTTCCAAATTTGCTGGCATATTGAGTGCAGCACTTTCATAGCATCATCTTTTAGATTTGAGATAGCTCAGGTGGAATTCTATCACCTCCATTAGCTCTATTGGTAGTGATGCTTCTTTAGACCCACTTGATTTCAGACTCCAGGATGTCTGTGTCTAGGTGAGTGATCACACTATCCTGGTTATCATGGTCATTAAGATATTTTTTTATAGCTCTTCCACATATTCCGGACAGCTTTTGTTAAGATCTTCTGCTTCTGTTAAGCCCATGCCATTTCTGTCCTTTATTGTGCCCATCTTTGCATGAAATGTTCCCCTGGTATCTTTAATTTTTTTGAAGAGATCTCGAGTTTTTCCCATTCTATTGATTTCCTTCACATTTAGGTCTCCACAGAACAATGAGTAGAATTTCCAGTGTTTCAAGAATATTTTCAAAGTCTCTCTTTCATTTAATTTCTTGAGAAATTAATAAGTTCATCTTATGTGTATGAGCTATCTCAGATATTTTCCTATATGTCTTCACTTTATGATTAGTTCTCTGTCAATATCATTTATTAGTTTTAGGTTGAAGTATCTAATAGAACATTCTCAGAAACATGTTTGACAAGAAGTGGATGAAACAATTATTAGGCAGCTAGGATTTGTGAAAATGTTTGGTGTCTCCACTTAAGATGACTAAAAGCAAGAAATAATCCTTCGATTCCCTATCTCCTCTTCATTTAGTGGTTCCTGTCGGTTCTTAGCCTGCTTCTCCCTCTGTAACACATTCCTTTGCCATTTCATTTTGTCCAGTTTTCTGTTTGTAGTCTCTGTTTTGAAGGCTACAGGCACCTAGTCAGTCATCCTTCCGGTGCCTGCACCTTGGTGCGTGAGATTGGTCCAGACGTTTGTGCTCTATGGTGGTTCAGGCTTCCTCCACAAGCATCCTGTTTATAGAGCCTCTCCCTCACTCCCGTCCCCTCAGGATGTCTCCTCAGTGCCAACCGCAGTCCTCTGCCTGGGTCTGCGCTCCGAACCCCACATTTCAGCACCCAGCCCTTGTCTGTAGCGGTGGGCGTGCCTCTCAGGCTGGGTGAGCAAGGCACGGGTCAGGACCCCATATGCAGGTCTCACCCTGTCTTGCTGCCACACGCGGGTTGCCATGTTCTCTCCCACAGAGAATGAGGCTCTTCTTCTGTCCAAACTGAGCTCCCCGACGAGGGGCTTCCCCGGATGTGGAGACCGCTCCTCCTTTTCATGTCCCCCCAGGGTTGCAGGCCCCATCCCACTTCCTCTCCTCTTCCTTTTCCTTCCTCTTTCTCTTGTCCTACCTGGCTCAGCAGGAATGTAACTGTCCTTGTAGATTTCCAATGGGCCTCTGCTAGTGTCCAGCTTGGCTCTGTGAGAAGAGTTCCGTTTCTGATGTATTCTTGATGCCTTTGTGGAGATAGAAGTCTATGTCTTCTTAATACTCTGGGATCTTGATCCTCCCTTCTCTATTTTATTTTTGAACTAGTGAAGGGTTCATCAGTTTTTTCTAAATCTTTAAGGATATTCCCTGAGAATAGCAGGTAAAATTACTTATTATTTGCTATCTTTCAGTGAGGTCTCCACAATACACCTGGGATTTGATGCGACAGGAACCAAGGATAGAAGATTTGTTTCCAAAAGCAAACCTAGGAATATATGAAAGATTCCACCTCAGATACTTCAATTTAAGAAAACACTGGGAATATAGGAGGGCATATGTAAGACAGAGAAGATGTTTATATGGACATAAAGAAATTGAGACAGTTACACATAAGGGAAACATTACTGCAAAAAGAAATGAGCAACATGATTCAAACTGGGAGAAACACCAATTTCAGTCTTCAACATCTGCTGAGAAGTGTTAATTTTTTAAAAAAAGGCTTACATCACCTTTTGAAACATACATGTTCTCTGAAAGGAAACATGATACATTTGGAACATGATTTAGTCTCCACTGCAAATACTCATTCAAACAATTCTGAATGTAGACTTCATTTATGCATACATTCAAGCATGTCTGAACACCTGAAATTTAAAAATGAGGGGCAAAGCTCACAATATACTCAATTTGAGGGATCTGTCAGCAGGAAGTCATTATTCTTCCAGCAAAAGATATTTCCTCTCCATTCCATGATGTATAATGTTGATGATAATGAAAGAGATGTAGTTCAACCATCATTATTCAATACACATCATGATATTGCTAATACAGAACAGCTTTCCACGTGTAATAAAATTAGTCAGGTCTAAAGTAAGAGTTCCAGACCCAGTAATTACAAGGGTTTTTATGGTGGAGTGAGAAGGTATTCAAGCAATCAAACTGGGTATAAGGTTGAAGGAGACTCAAACCTTATGAAACATCAGGGACCTGAATCTTCACACACGGATTCTAAAAGTAATAAATGTAGAAATATCTTTTATCAGATGTCAGTTCGTTCTGTGCAGTGTATTCATACTGGAGAGAAGACTTATAATTGTAGTGAATATGGTAAAGCTTCTAATCAGTCTTCAGAACTTGTACAACAGCAAACGATTCAAAATCCACAGAAAGGACACCAATGTAAGATTCATGAGAAAGTCTTTAGTACCTCATCCAATCTAAGTAAACATGGCAAAATTCATATAGAAAGGAAATCTTTCAAATGTACAGAGTGTGGCAAAAATTTGTCCGTCGCTCATTTCTTACTCAACATCAGCTTACTCACACTGGAGAGAAATGTTATAAATGTTCAGAATGTGGCAAAGCCTTTATTACAAGTTGAAATCTTAGTAAGCATCATCAAATTCATATGGGGAGAAGTGTTATAAGTGTACAGAATGTGGGAACACCTTCATGAACAGTTCTGCTGTTAGTAGACATTGGCGAAATCATAGTGGGGAGAGACCATATAAATGTACAGAATGTGGCAAAGCCTTTAAATATAACTTCATTCTTACAAGACATCTGCTATTTCATACAGGAGAGAATCCCTATAAATATACAGAATGTGGGAAAGCCTTCAGTGACAAATCAAAACTCACTAATCAGCTGCAAGCTCATAATGGAGAGAAACCGTATAAATGCACAGAATGTGGCGACGCCTTTAGTCAGAACTCAACTCTTACCTATCATCAACGAATTCATACTGGGGAGAAAGCTTAAAATGTAAGGAATGTGAAAAAGCCTTTATCAGTTGTTCAGAGCTTATTGACATCAGCGAATTCATAGTGGAGAGCGACCTTATCATTGTACAGAGGGTGACTGAGATTTTAATTGTTCAAATTTAACTGCACATCATCGAATCCACACTGGGGAGAAACCATACCAATGTACAGAATGTGGCAAACCCTTTAATCAGAAATTAACTCTCACTACACGTCTGCAAGATCATACCAGAGTGAAACCTTATAAACATGAAGATTGTGGCAAAGGCTTTAGTCATAGTGGTGAGCTCCCTAAACAGCTGAGAGCACATACTGGAGAAAAACTCTAGTAATGGAACAAGTGATGAAAGGTTTGTCATAAACATGCATCAGAAAACATGAGAGTTTATACAAGAAACCTATGGAAATGATGTAACAAATATGTAGAAAAATATTTAATCAAAAACCAAATGTAAAAACATAAGAGACTACATATTAGAAAATATTTCATCAATCCTCTTTTCCAAAGTTTCTCTGAAGGAGAATTACTGTAGGGAGTACTCCATAGTTAAAACATATAGAAAATGGTTATATTAGCATGAATCGTGAGATGAAGATTGATGGTTAGAAAGTTAGAATTATTAGCAATATATGCTTGTTTATAATGACGTGATTTGAGATTAGAAGTGAATGTAACTCAAATAATCCATACTATGCTTCACTTCTATTGTGTGTATGCAAAAGTAAGTTTTGGATGGTTTATGCTTGAAAGATTAGCCTTTTTATATTGTGTTGCAACCATTTTTATCTATTCTCCATTAGAAGATGAAGGATACCATAATGTAAAATCGACAATGAACATCTAAATGGAGGTGTTTGTCATTGATGTGAAATACCTGGAGGTTGCCATGATGTAAGTGATCATGGAATGTCTTCAAGTATTAAAGGAAGACAGAAGTTGGTTATAATTTTTCAATAGGTCTATCAATTGATTTGAAAGAGGAACACCATCACAGTCACTAAAACACTGATGTACCTTTATAATTTCAGCACAAGTCATGAATATTACTTGACAGTGTTGCAATAAAGACAGCGTCTGTGTTAACCTAGAAATGTATTGGAAACCCTTCCTGGAAAAGGCAAGCAATCAGTGTGTATCGTGTTTACTAATTGTTTCCTAGGCTTTGTTTGTACACCATAAAAATCAGAAAAATAAATATCTTCTCTGTACTTTTGAACCATATCGTGGATTATTAAAGGTTTTATGTCAACTATGTGTGAAATTCATACAAGGCCATTAGTAGAAGTGAATGGTTTTTAGTGTTTCAGTTGGTTGTAATGAATGAAGTGTTAACCCACAACCAACAGTAACCTTCACAAGAAACTGTGGAAAATTCTTAGAACGATGGGAATACCAGATCACCTGACCTGCCTCTTGAGAAATCTGTATAGAGGTCAGGAAGCAACAGTTAGTTCTGGACATGGAACAACAGACTGGTTCCAAGTAGGGAAAGGAGTACGTCAGGTGTGTATATTGTCACCCTGCTTATTGAACTTATATGCAGAGCACATACTGAGAAATGCTGGGCTGGAAGAAGTACAAGCTGGAATCAAGATTGATGGAAGAAATAGAATAACCTCAGCTATGCAGATGACACCACCCTTATGGCAGAAGGAAAAGAACTAAAGGGCCTCTTGATGAAAGTGAAAGGGGAGAATAAAAAATTTGGCTTAAAGCCCAACTTTCAGAAAACTAAGATCATAGCATCTGGTCCCATCACTTCATGGCAAATAGCTGGGAAAGGAATGGAAACAGTGGTAGAATTTATTTTTGGGGGCTCTAAAATCAGTGCAGATGGTGACTGCAGCCATGAAATTAAAAGATGCTTACTCCCGGGAAGAATAGTTATGACCAACCTAGGCGATATATTAAAAAGCAGAAACATTACTTTGCCAGCAATGGTGTGTCTAGTCAAGACTATGGTTTATCCAGTAGTCATGTATGGATGTGAGAGTGGACTATGAAGAAAGCTGAGCCCCGAAATTTGATGCTTTTGAACTGTGGTGTTGGAGAAGTCTCTTGAGAGTCCGTTTTACTACAAGGAGATCCAACCAGCCCATCCTAAAGGAAATGAGTCCTAAATATTCATTGGAAGGACTGATGTTGAAGTTGAAACTCCAATATTTTGGCCACCTGATGGAAAGAAGTGACTTATTTGAGACGACCCTGATACTGGGAAAGATTGAGGGCGGGAGGAGATGGGACAACAGAGGATAAGATGGTTGGATGGCATCACGAATCAATGGATATGAGTTTGAATAGACATCAGGAGTTGGTGATGGACAAGGAGCCCTGGCATGCTGCAGTCCATGGCATCGCAAAGAGTCGGCCACGACTGAGCGACAACTGAACTGAACTGAACTGAATGAAGAAACAGACAGTATTCTTGCCTGGAGACTTCCATGGATAGAGGAGCCTGGCGGGCTACAGTACATGGTGTTGCAAAGAATCAGACACGATTGATCGACTAAGCACAGAGTTCTTAACTGTATACACTGTTTCCATAAAAGACAGATCAGTCCTATAGTTTTAATTTATTTTTATTATTCATGGAGTTGCTAGTGGCACACCTATAGTAACCCTAAAAAATATATGATTTCTGTAAGGTACTCCATGATTTCAGATCTATCTATGCAATGTCAGTCACTAGTTACAATAAACATCAGGTTTCATATGGGTTGGATTCAACAGTAACAATCACTGTCACAAAAATTACACTGTGACTACCCTGGTGGTCCAGTGACTAAGACTCCTCATTACCAATGTGAATGGCGGGTAGGGGAGGTTGGGGTTGGAGGCCTAGATTTGATCCCTCGTCAAGGAATTAGATCCCATATGCCACTAGTAAGATATGGCACAGCCAAATAAGTATTTTACAAACGAATTACACTGAGATACATTGGGAGGCATTGGGAATTGATATCTGGTGTAACAGCTAATCTCTTTTTAATAGATCCATTTAATTTTTTGAATTATTCCTCCTTCCCATGCTGCATTGGCCCTGCATTACTTTGAGCCAGAACACTTCCTTTTTCCTGTAGGGTCACGAACCCAGACTCCCCAAGGTGCCTGTTGCTTGCAGATTCTTGCCCTCAGGCTGAAACAGAAAATACTCACTTGACGTCCTCCCATTGCCTGGATAGTGGGTTCAGGGTGCTGGTCACGGCAAGCTGCCCCTGTGACAGGGAGGGAGGCAGCCAGACCCCTAGATAAGGGCTTGTGATCCTATGATTCATGTCCCCTCAGAACTGCAATTATCTTTTCACCTGTAGCTTGGGGAACTGATATTGTTTGAGAAAATCTTTTTTGCTCAGTTGCTAGTGATAAAACAACAATTAAAAGTTTATGCCAATCATCTCCAAAGAGACTATTGAAATGCTTGAGGAAGGTTCTATTCCCCTTGGTCCCTGGAGACAGAGAGGGACTTACATGGAAGCAGTGGGAAATACTGAGTTCTAAGAAAGGAAGGGAGTTTCATGGGTCTGCTTGTATAGCCTGTCACCATGAGTAGTGTTTCAATCAAAAATTAGTTGACCAACGAACTTTGCCTCCCTTTAGTTTATGAGTAGCAAAATGTAGCCAAAGCACCTGAGAAGGATTTTCAATTTGAGGGAATTTCAAAATGAGAGGGAATTTCTCTATCTCTCATTTTACAGAAGTGAAAATTTCATACGTAATTGCCTGAAATGTCATAGAACTTCTCAAAAAGTATCTTGAGGCAAATACTCCCTGTGTTTACTCTTAGGATTCAACATCTGTTAGACAGAAATTCCCCCATGATTTCCACTGTAGTCTGCAAGGACAGGTACACCTTAGTGCCAACTCCCTAGAGAATGTTCTCCAAGGTCTTCATAACCAGTCATATTCAGAACTAGAGGTTCAGCAGGGCATAGTTAGATTTGAGCTATTGATAGTTTAACCATGAAAATCAGTATCAATATTCCCTAGTTGGAATTTGTCCCCACTCAAAGATACTTCAGGAACATATTTTGGTATTTGCTCACAGCCCAAACTTTTTTAAAATGTCATTTTCTATAAATGTGATATAATGTTTCTAACTACTTGAAATGTGACTTAATACTTTCCATGTCACATTAATTAACAGATCAGTTTATTATTTGCAATCAGTCACTTTTATTTTCAATGTCATAGCAGTTTATCACACTGTTATTTCCAGTATCATAGTTTAGGTTGTAGTCTTCCATGATTCCTGATAGATGTTTATTCAATACCTGTTAAAAAACCAATTAGTATTTCTGTCGGCAAGGAAGTAAAGAGCTTAGAGTACATTTGAAAAAGGAAATTTGTCAAAGAAAATATTTTTCAATTTTTTTAATTTTTTTTTATATTTAATTGAAAGAGAATTGGTTTACAGAATTTTATTGCTTCCTGTCAAACCTCAACATGAATTAGTCATGGGTATACATTTATCCCATTTCTCAGACTTTAGATTTTTGGGCTCCAAAATCACTGCAGATGGTGACTGCAGCCATGAAATTAAAACATGCTTACTCCTTGGAAGGAAAGTTATGACCAACCTAGACAGCATATTAAAAAGCAGAGACATTACTTTGCCAACAAAGGTCAGTCTGGTCAAGGCTATGGTTTTTCCAGTGGTCATGTATGGGTGTGACACTTTAACTGTGAAGAAAGCTGAGCGCCGAAAAATTGATGCTTTTGAACTGTGGTGTTTTCTTGTCGCTAAAAACAGCCTGTGTGCCAACAGCACTGTTAAACTAAAAACATATTTCAGAAGTTAGGGCTCTAAAATTGTATATTAGCATATGTTAGAAATTTGCTAGAAAATTGTTTTCAGATTTGTTTATGTACTGTGTGGCATGTGGGATCTTAGTTCCCTGAGGAGGGACAGAGTCCATGCCTGCTGCAGTGGAACTCTGAGTCGTAACCACTGCACCTCGGGAAGCCCAAACATAATCTGTTAGTGAGCATGTAGCCTG